GCAATATAAAAGCAGGACTCCGAAGATGTTCTAAACCTTGCCAAAGAATATACATATATTCGTATGTCTAGAATTTATATTGGGTATTCGTATGCGCATAAGCTACATAAATTCGTATAAAAGTGGAGACCCGATATGTATCTACTGCGGGACTTGAATGACGGTCGTAATCGATTATTTGTAAATACATTATTAATATTTAACGTTGTATCTTAAGATATAGTTATATAAATTACAATAGAACATACATATCTTCGAAATTTAGTCGTATTCGAACTTTAAGGCCAATGATCATAGCAGTCGAGATCCATATAAAATCAATCGAACTTTAAGGTTGACTTAACACATTTCAATTTCAGAATTCAAATTCTCGTTTAAAATTCAAGCAGCTTTAATGCACTTATTGAAAACAGAAAATTATCATAATTATCATAAAACTGCCATCACAAAAAAGTATGTAGAGCACACAAAATATGGGCGTAGTTAAAAGACAGGGCACCTGTCCTTGCCCCCTCTCTCAACGAAGAAAGTGACTTGCTCTAAAGGAGACAAATTACATTTTACCCCTCCTCAAATGTAAAAGGGTAGAATTGATAATTACTTTGCACAAAAAGATCTAAAACGTTTAAATACGTAATTATTCTTAAAACACATTTTATTCCCTGTAAGTAGCAATCTTTGAATGCAGTTCAAGGATGCTGAAATAAGAATTTTAAGTAAGGAATTATTCTTTAGCAGTCGAGTGAATTCCAAATCGAGTTATAGTGTCTGGAAGAACAGGTCAGAAGCTGATCGCGAAGCCATAAAAGAGATCGGTGTTCGCGCCCAATAACACGTAATCGAATTAAACCTATTTTATGCCCAGTATAGATAATCCGGTAAAGTTCTATTCAGCTGCTGCAGTCGACACGCCCTGTTGTTTCTTTGTTCGAAAAATAGCCGTTATCTTCGAAAGTTCTCGATTTAGCAAATTCGGAAGTTCTGCTAAATTACAGCTTGATCTTAGTTGCAAATTCGAAAAAGATCACCGTTTTAGGGAGTACAATGGTTATCTTTAATCTACTTCCAAAGACGGATGACTGGAGAAAGCTTTTATCCGAAATTCTACGAAACACGTCTGACCTCGATTTAGGGAGTTCAAAGCCCACGACACACTAACTTCGTCTAAAAATTACGTTTTTCTTTGTTAGAGCTTGTTGATGGAAACTCTAGACTAGAAGTTATAAGAGCGATGTAGAAATCTTTCCTTATTGTTTATAATTTGCACAATTCTGCACCAATCAGATGACTTCTGAAAACACAGCTGCTGAAGGCTGCGATTCAAAGTATACGTTTCACATGTCTTTCTGAGATAATAATTTACAGTAGTACTGAGATAATAGTTTACAGCAATCGCAAAATTAAAAAAGCAATCCTCCGAATTCCTGGAAAAAGCAGATAATTCATAAACGATAATAGAAAAAGTGGCATAGAATTCTGCTCACGAGCACCTCGTAAATTCAGTTTTTAAGCCCGCATTCTCACGCTGAAATGCAAAAAAAGACTCGTCTAGCGTCTAGACGCATTCCTGAGGCCGAACGTATCTCTGTTGATCGAGTGGCTTGGTTGTCGCCGAAGGCAAAGCGGGCGAACAAAATCGAGAGCGTGTCACGTATCCGAGCGCAGCGCCGCGGATCCGGAAGTTGGTTGGCGTAGGTGGGACGCAAGTCGAGAGAGGGATATCCCCGGTATAATAATTAATAACTGGTCGCTGAGTGGTTCGCGCAGGCCCCGCCTCTTACCCCCTGATTTATGAACCGCGCCGCCTTCCTTGTCATAACCGAGTGTACAAGGTTGGTGCTGGTGGGGCGTGTTAGAGTGGGGCGATGACTGAGCTGGTGGGGAAAGGGTGACGCGTGACGTTGCGCGACGGTACCTACGCCCAGGCCGGTTCTTTACCAAACGATCAGTCGGTTCTCGTCCTTGCCGGATGACACTGGTCTACCCGCGGACGTCCGGCCGAAACGCAGCGCAGCTTCCACGCGCCACCGCAAGTCGGCGCCACGACTGAGCCTCCTCAGCATCGCCGAGGAGACATGCAGCTTATGAGATGGAGCATCACACGCCGCCTAGAGTGCCGAGGCAACAAGCAGCCCACCTGCAGACCCAACAGACTCTCGTGTCTCCGGTCTTCCGGTACGCACTGACCTTGAGAACTCCTGTGCCGAACCTTCGTTCGTTTGCATCGCGAGTGATTTTTGAGTGTTCACTGGGGGTTAGGTCACGCTTCGGTGCCGAACAAGTCTGCCGGCCGTTTCTCATCGGTACCACTTATTGACACGTTCGATGATGGTTTAAATCATTAGGCTCGTAAAATCGGTCAGGCGTGCAAATACATGAAGTTCGATAAACAGGGACAACGGTTTAGCTGTGCGTGGAGATAAGGATTTGATAGACGACGCTTCTTAACGTTGGTGAACGGGCAATATTGTGACAGGGACATTTTTATTAGTAGCATATTTTCGTGTACGCGGAGCTATTGAAAGATATGTGCTGGACTGAACATGTCAGAGCAGATTTGTGTTTAAGGTGCTTTGTTTCATAGTGCTGTTTGTTGTATTTGAGGGATAATGACAATTTTAACAGACGCAGAGGTCTGACTTTTCACATTTTTTTCTTCTCTTTGTATTTTTCTCTTCGTTTGTACGCCGTAAATAATAAGACTGTTACAAGGACAAATTTTTCGACGGACGTAACATGAGGGGGATTAGCAGCATTTATAAAGTCTTATGTATAAGTCATTATGTTCCTCGCTTGTTAGGTTGTATAACTTCCAAATTTTGTTCTCAATAATTAAATGTATCCTGTGGTTCTTAGAAATAACTTGTATAACTCCCAAATTTTGTTCTCAATAATTAAATGTATCGTGTGGTTCTTAGAAATAACTTGTCAAAACAGAGTTCATCATATACTAGAGTCCACAACTTTCTTTCGTTGTAAATGCGATACAATCTCACCAAAGACCAATGAATTATATCTCATGACTTTTGTGTTAAACTGTTAGATCTAACTTCTAAATACTCGAACAGTTGAAAGTGCTTCGGTTGTTGCACTCTCATATAGTGTTCGCCATATCGCGAAAGTGCTGAGTTGAAGGGATTTCAACTTGTGGGCCGTTAGGTGATTTGTGCTGTGTGTGGTTTCGAGCAATGGTACATAACATTGTCTATGATCAAAAGAAATTATCTATGATCTCTTGTTCACAAGTAATGACTGAAGTTTTTCGCGACTGTATAAAATTTCCAAAATTGTAACTCCAGTGAAGTACATCTAAAGTTTCTACTTTGTCTTATCCCTCGGTCTAAAAGTTCAAAGTGCATGGTACCTAGCAAATGGCAATTGAAGGTCTCTCAAAGAAATTCATATGCGAAAAGATGGCAGTTGACAGATTCTAATACAGTGAATTCTTCTTAAAGGATTACTCTTATTCCTTAATTCTCCAAAAGGTAAAATATCACAAGCTAGAATGAATAACACGAACTGCTTCTATCTGCCAACCTCTTAGCTCTCAGTTGTATCCACAAGTTCCGAAGTTAAACAATTTTACATAAAATTAAATTGGGTTAATTAAAAAACGACAATATTTTCCCCGATTAATCTCCGACCTGTCAATATTTTCGTCGCGACTCTATCTTCACGTCCTGACGTCTAAGCTTGACGTCTTAAAACATCATTGAGATCGAGTTAAAAGTTGTGATTTTACACGTCATGGGGAATACTAATTGTGAAGTGTCTTATCATTGACACGAATGTGCGTCACTTGTCTCCAGGGACTCGGCTACCGGCTGACACGCTTTTGCCGCTCAATTTTCACTAAAATCGTGTGCGTCCGATCGTAGAACAAAATCGGAGCGACGGTGATTAACGATTCTGCTTCGGTCTCGTGGCGACCAACGTACAATACATTTTAACTGAATCGTTCTTACCTGGCGGGATCCGCTCCAGCCTTGGTTCAAGCGTGAAGCGAAACCTTATGAGCTGTCGTACGCAACGAGCCGTTAGGGGCATTATCTTTCGTCAAATATCAGCTAGGTCCTTAATACTCTTTTAATTTAATACTTCCTTAATCCTTCTATTTTTTAGAGAAATTCCTTTGAAAAGTGACAGTTTGTGTTGTGCTTCGAAGTTTTATCGAGATCTTCATGTTACACTAAAGCACTAGACACTGAAGCAGCTTTCAGTTTCGTTGGCATTGTTGGCGACACGTCGGGTTTTATGGTGACTTCAATCGCAGCAATTCGTCATATTCGTCACGTTCGAACAATAGAACGTTTCGTCTGCTCGTACATTCTAGTTGCACGAATGGAAAATCCAGGTCTCGGACATTTCGCAAAAAGCATTTTCTAGAAATGACGGTTTTGCAACGGTACGATTGCACGCTACGATTTGTTTATTAAATTATACAAATGTACAATGGATCTCGATTAGTTACAAGAATAACGAACGTCTCGGTGGCATTTGAAAGGCCATCGTTGAACGTGTGTAACCCTCTTAATATGTGAAGTTCGTCGATCAAATGCCTGTTGTTGCATCGTTAACACCTATTAACTGCTTCGTATTCATAGAGCGTGTACGGTATCTGAAACGAGTAACGCTTCTTGTTCATTTTTGCGTTATTAATGCGATACATATAAATGGCCCGAACGTCGAATACAAACGAAACGGGCATGGCTTCTTCGCGGGTTTTGTCTTCGGCGTACACCGCGTCGCTCGAACAGGCTTCTATTTCTCTCTGGTGATTGAAAATAGAAAAAAATATTGAATAATTTAATGAGATTCAAGTTTGTCAGTCTTCACTCACGGTGTACCGTGAGGGTATCATTTAAATAATGTTATTGTATTTCCAATCCAATTTGCTTCGAGCGTGCACGAACGCGCTTAATGTTTCGTCACAGTGCGTCAAAATAATAACCTCTGTTGATGGAACGAGTTTTCACGAGAATTATGATGACGTGTTACAGGAGAGGAAAATGACTTCACGTCGGATGGTGAAGAAAGCGCCGGCGGAGGGGGTGGAGGAGACGAAGCCGTGGACCTCACGGCATCCAGGTCTCACCAGGGTGACGAGGACGACAAGGATCAAGAGGATGCTCTGGAGGAGGATGAAGAGGAAGGTGTGGACGAGCAGGACGAGCAGGAGGACGATGAGGAAGGGTCGCGAAAACAGATGCGCCATAGACAGGACGCGGAGAACAACAACAACTTCGTGGAGGGCGGTACGCCTGCTAGCCTGTTCCCACCTGCTGGAACTAGTCACGTCACCCTGGAAGCTCTCCAGAACACGAAAGTGGCGGTTGCTCAATTCGCAGCGACAGCTTTGGCCGGTGGAGCGGACAGCGAGGCGGCCTTGCAGGATTTGGCGCTGTTGCAGAGCACATTGTACACTCTTCAGCATCAGCAAGTGTTCCAATTGCAGTTGATCAGCCAGCTACAGCAGCAACTGTCCATTACACATAGCCAGTCCGTGCAACAAGGAACGCCTGAGCCATCGGATAACAAGGAAATATCGCCGTCTCCTTTGATCCAGCCTAAACCTCTGTCAAGTTTGACATCACCTCCTTCGTCACGTCCACCGAGTCATCAACAGACTTCGCCAGCTCCTATGACGCCAAATCTCTCTCAGGAACGGCCAACACCGTCTAACAGCGCCTCTCCGTTGAATTTACCCTTGTCTTCGTCGAATACGACGGGCACAATCGCCACCACCAGTAGCAGTCAGGTGCCGATGGCCCATCAAATGCCACCGCTCTGCTCCATCAGCTCTTCCCTAGCCTCGTCGATAATAACTAATACCGATCCACCACCGCTACACGAACCAAACACGCTGGAGATGCTGCAGAAGAGAGCGCAAGAAGTACTGGACAACGCCAGCCAGGGTCTGCTGGCTAACAACCTGGCGGACGAACTTGCGTTCAGAGGGGGCAAAGGCTCTCGTCTCTCCCCGTACGATTCAAAGTCCGGTAGCGGTCGCGGGGAGCCGTTCTTCAAGCACCGATGCCGTTATTGCGGCAAGGTGTTCGGCAGCGACTCGGCACTTCAGATCCACATACGATCGCACACAGGTGAGCGACCCTTTAAATGCAACGTCTGCGGCAGCCGCTTCACCACGAAAGGGAACCTGAAGGTCCACTTCCAGAGGCATACGGCCAAGTTTCCACATGTTAAGATGAACCCGAATCCCGTTCCGGAACACCTGGACAAGTACCACCCACCCTTGCTACAGCAAATCGCGTCTGGTCAAAGACCGATGCCGTCCCCGCCGCCGCCACCACCTTCTCACCATCCCTCTTTTCACCCGGCGGCGGCA